AACAGGCATGCAAAAGTTTTAGTGCAGAAGTTTGATCGCTGCACTGAGAACATCTTGTCGCATGTCGGTTCTGCCTACGCTACGCTGGAAGAAGCGAAGCCGAACTCCCGAATTGGTATGTTGATTTAGTCGAAGGTAAACCTTTGCTTTTTGATCTTATTGCTTTGTTATTTGTTTCCTTTGACTTGAAGACTTTAAGAGTGTGTTTTCCCTGTCCTTCTGTCTTTGTTGTATTCCTTTTCCTTTACGTTTTTCATTCTGTTCGATTCTTCGTGACCAGCCGTCGCAAGTAATATATTTTGGCACTTTTCACCCGGCTTCTCTGCTTCCAGAGATGAGCCGTGGAAGGCCTGCTTGCTCACTGCTTTCGGGTGCAACGCTTGGAAGCCCGTCATTTCCCCGGCCTTAGCTTCAAAGAATGCAAAATCGCGATAGTCCCGTTGTTCAAACAATGGAAAGCCACAAACATGTGCATATCATCATGCCGTACTGCCTTGCTCCCAAAGACTCCTGTTTCAAACGCTTGCATCACTGAAAGCCTGAAAGCAAATCTTGGGAGTCTGGAGTCTGGACCTTGAAGGAGCATCCAGACCAGTGCGGATCTGAACGCATCCCGGCAAGCCGGAAGCGACAGGCTCATGAGAAGAGTGCAAAGTGTGAGAGAGAAAAACAATCGAATAGCAATGGCCTCCAACCTAATAGCATAAGGAATCTAAGAGCGATGGCCTCCAACCAAAAATCTGGGAACCACAAGAAGGAAAAGCTTGGAAGTGTTGCTGGGGGGGTTCTTCAAGCTCTTCCACCTGGTATTGGCATACGCGCATCTACTAGCTACTCTACTGACCCACCTTTTAAGCTACCTCCTCATGACCGGTCTATACCCAAAAAAGAAAGAAAGCTCTTTATCAGCTACCAGTAACTGGGTAACTTTAGTAGCAATAAGTATAAGTATATAACTCATTACTGTCGTTGTTTCAGATCCTAGTAGTAACTTAGCAGTAACTTAGTAGAGTCTCATTCTCAGAAACAATTACTTAGATTCCGTGCAGCATATTATCGTGGCTTCATTCGCTTGACGCGTTCTAGCAGCCTCCATAACCGTGTTCTCCTTGTATTTCCCAGTGTTCCTGCTGGAAGAAGCAACATAGGATTTGCCAATGGCTAGATCCAACATCATTGTTGAAAAGTGCGACTATGGATGGGATTGTGCTGCCAACAGATTGTGTCTTTGTGCTGTGACTGAAAAGCACAGTGAAACATACGAGAAAACGAAGGGCTATAACTATAACCCAATTGATTGCTGGAAATGTGCCTCCCGAAAACGCTCATGGCTGGAACCTCAGAGGCGACTTGTCAGCATTGTTTGGCTAGTGGTGTATTGCAAAATCAATCTCCAACCATCTGGTTTTGGTCAGGAAATGTTATGATGGTATCCATAGTATTCTCGGAGCAGTGCCCCCAAAACATGCCATTCCTCAAACCAATTCACACAATGGCCGCTGAATTCTTCTGGCCTAGACTTTTGACAGTACTCCAATTATGTACCGACACCTGAGCAGATTTGTTGCAGAACCAACGCAATACTCTGTCATCTCAGCCACTCACCACCTTTTTGCCTTTCAAGTTGATAGGCTTTCCCTGATCAGGCTTAACGGGCTGTGTGGCTAAGAAAGCGTGTTGCCACAATTGGTTTCTCTTTGTCAACAAAGTGTCATTGTGTGTCTTGTCTTCAACACCTCGTTGTCTTTGACGATGCCCAGGTATTTGCCATTGCCCCAGAAGGCCAAGGAGCCTGAAGAACCGCTCAAACAAAGAACGCAGTTGTCACAATGTCTGCGGCATCAAGCCAATGAAGCTCAGTTGCTCGCTCGCCAATTCGTGCAAAGATAAATTGTCTGACGGCACTTTCCAGACATTGAAGCTAAGTGCCGCTCCGTCATCCATATCAACATCGATGCCAACTACAGTGCCTGCAATGAAAGGAGGCAGGGCAAATCAACTCTCAACTGGGGACACTGCATCAAGTGTAAGATTCTGATTGTCCAGAACTAGAACCTAATAGCAAAAGGAACCTAATAGCAATGGCCTCCAACCTAATAGCGATGGCCTTCTACCTAAAAGAATGCAAAGAATGTCTCGCCACTGGAGCATGGCTCATGGCCCTGCCTTTCTCAAAGGTGGGCCACTGATCAGCAAACATCCCAATGTGGGTACTGGGTCCCTTGACCAGGGACAGGCTGGACAGTGCTGTACACCAAGGTAAGTCAAACAGCTTCAACCAAGTGCCTGTGGCAACGCCTGTGTCAAGCTGTTTACAACTATAAGCTACGTCTCGCCGGACGAGTGAAAAACGCTGCCTAGACGAGAACTGAGGCTGCGGGCTGTCCAAAGATCTTTGATGTTCCTGTACCACTGTTCATCCTTGACGCGACACGATGTAAACATTCTTCTTTAGACTCCAGACCTTTATGTTTTCGTGTTTTTGTCTTGTTTGCTGTGGCCTGCCCCCATACTACTTATATAGTTAAGTGAGGAAGTAAGCTTCTAGCTCGGGCGCAGGTTAGCTCACGCTATTCATTTGATTCCTAGATTTGGGGGGGACAGCTGTGTCAAAACCAGCGAGAACCAGGGCAGCATCGACAATAACAGCCGAGCTGCCAATCGTTTCTTCTCAAAAAGCTTCAAGTTAACCTCAGGAGTAGGCAACGCTTGTGGGCATCAGCTTCAACCATATCCTCTCATATGTGTACAGGCTCCTCACAATTGTCCAGTTCGCCTGCTTTCCTCATGTTTCCACTCTTGAGCTCCTTGTGCCTCCTTGTACCCTTACAAGTCATTGCCTCCTTGTACCCTTCACAGAAATGTGGACTTTCTCCTCCGGGGTGCCTGAGGGAATGGTGACTTCAGTGTTTTTAGCCCCCTGAGTTCACCACTGCCACATCTGCAATGCGCTGATGCTCTGCCTAAGCAAAACACCAATGCAAGTAGCTTCTCAATGTGGAAAATACATGGAAGTCTCGTGGGGCGTGTCCATCCCGCGTGAAAACTAGGGCACACGTGGCACATTATCCGGAAAGTAGTCTCAGATGCAGGCCATCTTTCTGTCATTCATGCCAGGCTTGAGATCCAGGAAGGTGTAAATCTGACATCAGCTTGATTTGCTAAGCAATTGGCTGAATATTTCTCAAGAACAAAGCCTCAATGGATAGCACATGTAGTTGAACTTGTGAGCAGCCAAGCAAAAAAAGCAACCAACCTGTCGGTTTGGTCCTGGAACTGCATTCCTCTACAAAATAAAACGGCCTCGGCCGGCCTCTTCTTTTCCCCTTGAACTCGACTTCAGACTGAGGCTGCTGCAAAGGACTCTTTCCAGTCGCTTCCCCAGAACCAGCCCTTGCCCTTGCGATTCTTGTGCAGTGGCATGGTCCTTAGGAGTTTAGCACATTGGGCAAACGATAGCCACTTAGAGCCTGTTTCTTTTTTCCAGCATCCACAGCTCTCTGATCTTTCTCGAGACTTCATGCCCGCAACTTGGAGCCAGGCACATCGGACGAGGGCTCAGCAACGCCAATAAATTCGAAGGCATTTGAGGGTTTCTTCACAAATTTGACCTGCGAAATTGGTATTGATATGTGAATGCAATGATACAGGCTTACAGGTTTGCAGCTTGTTCGTTTCAACATTATCATCGGCTGTGAACACCTCGCACTACTGCCACCAAATGAAAGCCTCATCACTGCAGCTATAGCTAGCCAGTCCAGCAAAACACAAGTGAACTGCAAAAGGCCTCCCAGTATGATCGTCCAGACTGCGGAATTTCTTGATCACCAAGGACCTCCAAATGATCTCAGCAGGCCCTCGACCAGAACTCAATAGAACTCATCTTCAAATACTTTGATCTGTAGTAGGTACATACAAGAAAACACTCCGGCTGCCGAGCCGACCTTAGGCAACTTGTCAGAAACTGACTCCTAGCCCCAGTTGTTCACAACTTGCCCTGACTCCATCTGACTACGCAAGCCCAAAGAGTGCTACCCTGGCCGTGTTCCAGTGGCCATACATGAAGCTGCCCTCCGTGGAAATGCGGTAAGCATTGTCCTGCCAGTGGAGATGCGCTCCAGTTTCCGGAAAAGAAAGGGAGAACAGACGGAGAAGTCGCACCTTTTGAGCCGTCAGGAGGCCATTGTGGTCTTCCGCTTTGTTGATTCCAAAGGTATATCCTGCCTGACGTCCACAAGTATGCTCTCATTTCGCTTGGCACGTGCCCAAACACAAACTATATACACTTACACAAATCTGGTTCCAGCCTGCCGCAACACCCGGGGCTGGCTGCTGCCTCCTGAAGTTCACATGGGTTAGAGCCGGATTCGGAAACTAATCGGTCGGATTCTGAAGCTGGGGTTCTGAAACTGGGATTCTGAAACTAGGGTTCTGAAACTTGGATTCTGAAACTGGATTCTGAAACTGGGGTTCTGAAACTAGGATTCTGAAACTGGGGTTCCGAAACTAGGATTCTGAAACTGGGCTTCTGAAATTTGTATTCTGAGACTGGAAAGTCAGATTCTGCAACTGGTATTCTGAAGCTGGGATTCTGAAACTGGAAAGTCAGATTCTGCAACTGACATTCTGAAACTGGTATTCTGCAACTGGTGATCTCCACATCATGCGATAGCGTGTGCCTGTGACTTCATCTTCGAAGCGCATCCAAACAATCGTCATTATCGTTAGCCCCCAACCAACCAACCCCCCCTTGTCCCCATCGTGTGATCTCGACATCACGCCAACCCCCTCATCATTCACAAAAGTTGCGGAATCCTAGTGAGGGAATCCACAATTTTGCGGAATCCTAGTTGTGGAACGCCAGTTGCGGAATCCCAGTTGCAGAATCCTAGTTGCAAAATCCTAGTGGCGGAATCCTGACAGTTGCAGAATCCTAGTTTCAGAATTCTAGTTGCGGAATCCTACTTGCGGAATCCTAGTTGCGGAATCCCAGTGGCGGAATCCTAGTTTCAGAATCCTAGTTGCGGAATCCCAGTGGCGGAATCCGACCATAGTTGCGGAATCCTAGTTGCGGAATCCTGCGCAGTTGCGGAACTCGACTTTATCCAGTTCACATCACTTGTTTGCAAGTGCTTGGACACGATGGACGATGGGCCACAAATCAATATTGGCTAATGTATGCACAAGAGACCTGACTGGCCACTTCTAGTTGTGGACTAGGCAAATAACTTTTCAGGAGAAATTGTTTCGTTGTTTTCAGCTAGGAAGGATCACACACAAGGGTGTCACGCCACAACTGAGGCACAATTCTCAGCATCTTCGAGGCTGAACACTACACAATCACGAAAAGCACGAACCGGTAGATTGTGGAGGAAGTAAGCTTGATGAAACAAACATCTTATCTTATTTGATCGAGAACGGGACCTACAGCTTCACTTTCATCAACTTGCAAGATGAGGAATTGTTGGTCTGAATACGTCATAAGTATATGCAATGCTCTTGAAACCATCAGCATTCTAGATTGTTTGGAAGGAAAATACTCCACCGGCTAGAAGCCAAACGATAAACCTTTGCATCATAAAACTCATAACCGTACGAAACAGCGGGTTGCTCGGTCTACAAGAACCGCCAACTGGAAATGCAAGAGGATCGGTCAAACAAGCGATTTTGGATCGGTCTAACTGTATGGGTCGGCCGGGATGGAGGGTAGGCTGCTAGTAGGCTCAAGTAAGCTAGCAATTAAGGGGTAACTACTAAGTTAACAAGTAGCTTCTTGGACTTGGAAGCAGAAGGATTCAGTTCAGGCCTTTTCAAGGAAGCTCCCTCGCCTGAGAGCGGAGGGAAGCTTCCTTGAAGAAGCCTGAGCCTTAAAGATCTCCCGGGAAACTTAACTTTTGTGGGGCAAGTCTACAAGACATCCAGTTGGTTCGGTCAAACAAGCGATGCAAATTGTGACGGGATCAGTGCCGGTTCCAGAGTCATAGCATGACCTGGTTCCAGAGTTCGAAGAAAAAAGTTTCGATCAAGGCCTGGCTCCAAGGTTCCAGCGAAAAAGTTGCAAGCCAGGGTTGCTGGCTTTTTGATTAGGAAGTGACAATGGTGACAATGGCAGTAGTGTTCCAGATTCTAGTGATTGACCCTGATGAGTCCCTTGATCTGACCAATGTGAATAGAAGAACAGGTTGTACAACATCACACTACAAAATGCATGGTAAGAACGAGACGTTGTAAAATGCCTTTAAGTGTTCAGCGCAGTGGTGAAGACAAACAAAGTCTGAGAAGAAATAAGAGGGATTGGAAGGGAAAGCACTCTGTGGAAGGAAAACTCTTGGAGACCAGCTCACACCTACAGTGTGCCTTAAGAAAAGCGGAAGGCGGAGACATGTGACATGCCTGGGGGGTAAAGGCAAGTCAGCTTGTTGATCTTGTTGGCATCGCTGTCATAAAGAAAATAGTAAAGTCGCCTGGGTGTAAGGATCAGTCAGTTATGTCTGTGTATGTGTATGCAAATATATGATATAATATTCAGTAAATTTATACCTGCACTCGGTTGTGGACAGGAGTTCGCTACTATAGAGTCAAACAAACTGAAGAAAGCAACCCCGCGAAATACCCGAAACCCTGCCTCTGCTACCCACGAAACTGATAGCAGTGCTGCACCTTGGCAAGACTATAGTCCGTCACATTCCATAGTCGAAAGCGTTGTTCCGGTGTTTTGCTTGGCATTGGCAGGGGCAAAAGCTACTGCAAGCATCAATGTTCATTATGCCACATGTGTAAAGAACTTGGAGCAGCATACTTTAGCGGGAGTGCCAATATGAAGGGCCCAGACCATGCGGCAGCTCCAACGGCTACTACCTGAGCATCTGCTCAACATTAACATGCATTAACCAAACAACCAGGAATAGACTGCAACACGATCTCATCTCCACAACCAGCTGAAGACACGAATTCATCATAAAAGCTCCCTGTATGCGTCCTCTTGTTTCTCCAGAAAGCGCGCTCTGTACGAGTTGCTCCTTCTGTCACCACCCATTGAGTCAAAGAAACCACTCAAAGAGAAAGCTACTAGGAGCAAAGGGCATCGCTACTAGGAGCAAGGACGCTACTAGGAGCATTCTTACTAGTAACAAGAAGCTAGTAGAAACAAGTGCATCGCTACTAGGAGCAAGTGCCTTACTAGTAACAAGAAGCTACTAGGGGCTCCGATGACTCGTCGTGACTGGCTGGAGCCCCCCACGGCAATCAACGTGCGACGAGTCGGAGGCACACGTGGGCTCCAAGGCCTAGCGCCCACTGAGGCAAACGTCTACAAATTATTGAACGAGTGGAAAAGACATGAAAAGACGGTGTTGAAGGTGAAACATGTTGAATGGTGAAAAATATTCAACCAACTCCTTATACAATATGCAGAACCCTGACACAATCAGGTTTGTCAGAGCCTTTGCTCATGTCACGTCCTTTGTGTGTCCTTCTTAGATCATCCAGCTGATCCACTGGGCCTTTGTGCCGATGCCATGCTGGCCGTGTCGGATCCCGCCAAGCTCAGGCGGCTGCGGGTTGCGCCCATAAGACTTCAATTGCTCTCTTGCGTTGTTGTTTGTTCTTTAAACTTGCTTCTAGTAGTAATGCCAGGAGCTACTAGTAGCGTCCTTGCTCCTAGTAGCGATGCCCTTTGTTCCTAGTGCGTTGTTGTTTGTGTTTTTACTATACATCTGTGCAATCTTCAACGCAAGTCAAGACTCTTGCTTCAGCGTCAAGTCCCACCCCTTCTCACTCAATTCCAAAGTCCAGCCTTTCCTGCCGAAAGGGACCAGTCACAAACCGCACATAAGTTGGGGATTCGGGGATCTTTGGTCCCGGACCGGGCTGGGCGAGCGTGCAAGCCCGTTTAGACCGGCCTAACAGTGACAACAAGATGTGCCAAAGAGTTCGCTGTGCTGCACTTTCTCGCTGGCTCCCCACAAGCTACAAGCATTGGGATGGGATTGGCCTGGTGGTGAAGGCCCAACGGCACAGTGGCTCGAGCAGGACAAGGTGGACATGCTGCCTCTCAAGAAAACGGATGCGCTTCAACAGGTCTTTGTACCTAGTTCTGTTTCATTGTACTTTTCATGGAAATGGTAGATGCAGCACAAGAGAATAATTGTTGAGATAATTGTTCGAGTCCAACATCTGCCTGCACCATCTGGTGCGTTGGCCCCATAGTGGCACGCCTTTAAACATGCTGATGTGTTTGTTTGACTGCACAAGATGTTGGATCAGAGTTAAATGAAACCAAGGATATAAAGAACACGACAGCCATGGGGCCATGAAGACAATCATTGATCCTACATCTCTGTATGCTCATGTAAATTGCAAAGGCTTTCGTTTTATGAAGTGCTAGGGTTTCTTGAACCTACTCATCAAAGCAACACTTGTCTTGGCCCTCTGAGTTTCACGCATTGGAAGGGGCACTGGTGCTGACAGCCTAAAAATAGGGGAGGCGTGGCACCAAGGGGCCGATGCAGAGCACAATGTGAAAACTACATGTCGATGTTGGTCAGAACTTGCTTGTCAGGGTACACAAGGTTTGATAGAACCAGAAGTGTGTGCAGTCTCTGTTTGTGTGTATCGTAGCCTCGATGGCTCAGTTCCGGCGAGCGCCTCGCACAATCAAACGTTTGAATATGTGCACAAAGCAAGTTTGACTGAGATGCCCAACTTTGGAGATTCCAACACAGCTCACCCTTGTGGAAGTCTTGCTTCCAGAAGCTAAAATATTGTTATTTAAGATATGTTCAGTTGGTATAAATTAGTGCCTATTGTCAGATATCCTCAATGTCACAAATCTTAAACACCTGGGAATACGTGGGACATCGTGGAACAAGACATACATCCCATAATATCTGCCTTGGGACCGAAAAGAACCTACCGATGTTTAGACATGCACCTAGCTTTCATAGCTGTCATAGCTTTCCATGGAAGAAACATTAAATGAGGGCAAGAAGCATGGAAAGGAAGCACAGAAAGGTCCCAAGATAAAGTTTTAAAAGAATTGTGAATTCTGTCCTTTCCAGTTGCACCACACAAGAGTTTACCGGCACTTTCCTGTTCGGGCCCAAGTCAGGGGG